CCACCACCATCATCATCATCAGCATCAGCATCCTCATCATCACCATCACCAACATCAACATTAGCATCATCATCGCCACAAGGACAATCGCACCACCATCACACCACAATCATCATCATCAACATCATCATCGTCGTCGTCGCCATCGCAATCGTCAACAGCAGAATAAGCATCCTCATCAACAACATCATAATCGCCATCGTCACCATCACCATAAGCGTAATCAGCATCATCACCATCATCAACACCACCACCATCATCATCACCATCATCAGCATCATGTCCTCCTCTTCTTCATCATCACCATCATCATCATCATCATCATCATCATCATCATCATCTGGATCATCATCATCACCATCATTAGCGTTGTCAGCATCACCATCTCCATCTCCATCACCATCGTCATCATCACCATTGTCATCATCATCGTCATCATCATCGTCATCGTCATCATCATGATCATCATCAACATCATCCTCATCACGATCATCATGACCATCATTACCGTCAGCATCATCATCATACTCATGATCATCAACATTACAACCAAGATCACAACCACCACCACCACCATCCATCATCATCAAAACCATCAATATCATTATCATCATCATCATCATCATCATCATCACAATCACAAACACCATCAACATCACCATCAACATCACCACCACCACACTTATCCTGAATTCTTTTGTACACAACTCCTCCCTGTCGTACCCCGCGGCCAGTCGAAAGAGCGAGCCGGGCGATTCGCCTGAGATCTCCCTATCATTTATGAATTTGAAGCTAAAAAAACTTGCACCATAATCACAAAAGAAGGCGGGTCACTTACAAAATGTGGCTCTCGCCCCAGCGCCGCATACATTCGTCTTAAACAACTGCACGCGTTTCACACATTGAGGGGGATTGGTTTTCAAAATGCGGCTCTCGCATTAGCGCTACGCATAATTGCTTAAGAAATTGAAAACGTTGCACGGATGGAGGGCGGGTCGTTTGCAAAATGCGGCTCTCGCCTGAGCGGCGCGCAGAATCGTCTGAAACACATGCAAGAATTTCACAGACAGATTGAGGGCGGTTCGTTTTCAAAATGTGGCTCTCGCCTTCGCGCTGCGCAAATGCAAGAGGTTCACGGCTGGAGAGCGGCTCGTTTCGAAGATATGGCTCTCGCTTTGACGCCGCCCATACTCGTTTGTAAAACATGCAAAAATTTCACGGATTGAGGGCGTTCTTCTCTTTTCTTCAAAATGTGGCTCTCGCCAATGCCGCGCACATTCGTTTGAAAAAGTTGCACGAATTTCGCTGCTCCTCATGTATTACCTTCCAGAGTGGTGTTTTCGAACGGATCAAGATTGCCAGGGCGCAACAATTACGTTGATTCGCGGTGTTGAAATCCCAGGCATGGTGTCCTGGCGCGGTCCAGCATCGTCCAGACGCAACGGTCAGGTTGACTCGCGGCGTTGAAGCCCTGAGAATGGTGTTTTGGTGCGCTTCCGGATTCCCACACGGCTGTTTCCCAACGGGACGCTTCCCTCAGTGGAAGTAAACCCTTGTACGGCGCCTATGAAGAGGAAGCTTTGGGGAAAGGTGTATCCAAACATCAAAGAGAAGTCTTGGGTTTACACTGGTCCTCATCGTTGGCCCCGTCCTCATCATCAACCTCACGCTCACCAAGACCATCACCATCAGCATCATCATCATCACCATTATCGTAACCATCATCATCATCATCATCATCATCATCATCATCATCGTCGCCATCACCGTCCTGGTACCGATCATGATCCTCATCGTAATTATCATGATCATCATTATTACCATCATCCTCATCATCATCGTCATCATCAGCACATCAGCACTATCAGCATCATTCATGTTAGCATTACCAGAATCACCATCACGATCATCATCACCATCACCATCGCCAACAACAGCATTATCATCATCAGCATCAACATCAGCATCACACTCATCAGTGTAATCACAATCATCAGCGTAATCACAATCATCATCATTAGTACCCGCAGCAGCATCAACATCATCACAACCATCATTATCTGGAGTGTCAAAATCATCAAAATCATCATCACGATCACCACCGTGGTGATCATGGTCATATTCATCATCATGCTCATAATCATCATCACCATCATCATCATGGTCGTTACCATCATCATCATCATCATCATCATCTCAATCATCGCCATCACCAGCATCACCCTCATCCATTGCACCATCATCATCATACTCATCATCATCAGCATCATCATCATGGTCGTTACCATCATCATCTCAATCATCGCCATCACCAGCGTCACCCTCATCCATTGCACCATCATCATCATACTCATCATCATCAGCATCATCAGCATCACCATTAGCAACACCACTATCATCATGCTCACCACGAGCATCTCGACCACCATCGTCATCATCATCAACATCAAAAGCGTCACCATCATCATCATCACCTTCCTCCTCATCATCATGCTCATCCTCATCATTCGCCGCATCAGTATCATCATCATACTCGTCATCCTCACCCTCGTAATCACTATCACCATCATCATCATTATCACCACCATCGCCGTTGTCAGCAGCAACTTATCATCGTCGTCATCAACCACAACATCATAACTAGCAACATCATCATCACCATCATTTCCTACACCATCATCACCATCATCACCGTCATAACCATCATCGATATTATTCCCATCCCTATCACCGTAATCACCACGAACAGTATCATCCTCGTAAGCATCATCGTCACCATCAACACACTCATCATAGTCAGCATCAACACCATCACCATTATCATCACCGCCATTACCATCACCACCATCACCATTCCCATCACCATCACCATTGTCGTCATCATCGTAATCGTCATCGACCTCCTCCTCCTCATCATCACCATCACCATCATCGACATCAGCATCATCAACATCAACATCATCACCATCAACATCAACATGAACATCATCACCATCAACACCAACACCCACGCCAAGAACCGAAACCTTGGCTTTGAATGGAAGCGCGCCTTGTCAACACTTGATCCGGGCTCTTCGCGAATACGTGCCCGGGACGTGGCCCGGGATTTTTTTGACGCCACCGTCTCGGCTTCTCCGGCCAGTGGCCCATCCGTGTGCATGCGGTGCCCTCCAGAGCGGAGTCGTTGCTGCACCAGCAACCGAGGCCTTCGTAGTCATATGTCTCGTGTCCACGCCGTCGGTAACGACGCACGATAGTATGTCAAAGACTCTTCTTGCCCACTGCAAGAAGGTGTTCTCAAGCCGTCCTGCTGCAATCGATCATCTGGCGTACAGGACCAAGCGCTGCAGAGACTCCCTTGCTTCACTCAGCCCCCTCGCTGAGAGTGTAGTTGCTCGTCTTGATCTGGCTGATCGCGACAAGGCTCGTGAGATAGGCTGGGCTGCTTGCCTGGGTCACGCTTAGCCCTGTACAGCTCTCGCTGGCGCGCGATATTGTCTTGACACCTTTTGAATCGTCACATCTCATGCTCTAACGTCTGAAATCAAAACATCATCATCACCACCACCATCACCATGAACACCATCAACATCATCATCATCATCATCACCACCATTACCACCATCATCATCACCATCATCATATTATCATCATTATCATCATCATATTATCATCATCATATTATCATCATATTATCATCATTATCATCATCATCACCATCATCCTTCCCTCCCTCCTCACCCTCGCTTCACATCCTCCGTCCACCCTCCGCCTCCCTCTTCCTTCTCATCCCTATGATTATTCCTCGTCGTCGTCGTCGTCCTTTCGGCGGTGGACTAACCTCCCTCAATAAACCTCCCCTTATTGAAAACGGCCTGGGACCGAAACCGACGGACCTGGACCCGCAGAAAGGACGGCCGCGACGCCCCCTCGCGCACCGAAGACGGCCAACTCCTGAATCGACGCGGCAGGGTAGGAGGTCTATCCACCTCCGATCCTTCTCCTGCTCCTACTCCCTTCGGGAGCGGCCAAGAGGGGGGTGTCCAAGAGGGGGGGGTGCAAATCATGACCGGCGGCATGTGCGCGGCCCAGCGGGGAGGCCAGGGACGTAATGAAACAAGAAAAGGCGCCATGAAATCCGGGGAGATATCATGGCCCCCGCCATGATATCCACCCCCCCCTAGTCATCGCCCCCCTCTTTGCCGCCCCCGATACTCCCTCGCTCTCTCCACCCTCATCCCAGGGCATCAGGACGAGGACGGTGGCGGCTCCGTGAGCTGGTAGCTGCGCTGGTTCCAGCTCTGCAAGTACGGCACCGTGGTGAGACCCCCGGGTCGACGTGCGGATGGCAGGAGGGCCCCAACGACACTCCAGTACCATCATCGGCCTGACCTAAAGAACGATAAATACGGAACGAAGCCCCTTTATCCCAAGAAATAACGCATAAGGAACGATAAATAACAAATAACGCATAAGGAACTGTAAACAACGCATCCAAACCTAAGGAACGACCGAGCCCCTTTTGAAAAGTAAGTGTTCCTTATTCAAGCCGCTCACTGTACCGATCCTGGCCAGGACCACCCTGGGCCCAGGATCGGTGTATCCGCCTTCCTGCCATGGCCAGGATGCCTATATACACCGATCCTGGGTCCAGGCTCGGCCTGGCCAGGATCGGCGTAGGTGCAGGCGTATAGTTGGTGCCCTCCGAGATGGGGACTCTTGAGCGCCATGCCGGCGGCGGGCGTCACGAAGCAGCGCGGTGGGCACCTCGCAGGAGGGCCCCAACCAGACACCGACACCGATCCTGGCCAGGATCACCCTGGGCCCAGGATCGGCGTATACGCCCTCCTGCCTTGGGCGAGAAGGCCTATACACCGATCCTGGGCCAGGGGTGATCCTAGCCAGGATCGGTGTTGGCGTTTTGTCGGTGCCCTGCGACCTCGGGTACGGGGGGTCGAAATAGAGGGTGACGGGGATGTTGTAGGTCCCACCCCTGTAACTTATCGGCACGACGCCGCTGATAGAAGACAAACAAAAACGCCATGAACATAACCTTTTGGCGCTCCGCGCGGATTTCTTGGATCTGCGCTGGACCCCCTCCTTGGCGCGCGGAGCGCGCCAGGGGCGGCGCCGGAGGCGCCCTCAGAAGGGGCCCAGCGCGGATCCAAGAAATCCGCGCGGAGCGCCAAAAGTTTATGCTTATGGCGTTTTTCCCTCTTCGGGCTGAGGTAGAACAGCGTGGCAGACTTCCCGCCGCCGGTGAACTGCTGCGCGGCGGGCTGCAGGCCGTCGCTGGACCGGAGGAGGCTCGCCACGTCGTTGCGCAGCCTGTCCTTCTGCTCGTACTGGTAGGGCACCTGCCTCAGCACGCTGTCGAGTCTCGCCAGCCTCTGCTGCACGCCCTCCCCCGCCGCCATCGGCCCGCCGCGCGAGGCTCGCGAGAGGCCGAGGCCGACGGCGGCGCGGTGCGCGCGCGGGGCGCGGCGCCCCCTTCCGGGGCCGAGGCACGGCTGCGGCGGCGGGCCCGGAGACAGACGGCGCCGACGGCGGCGATGACAACGGCGGTGCGGTGCGGTGGCGGCGACGTCGGCGGCGACAGCGATGACGGCGGCGATGGCCACGGCGGCGACACTGACGGCTGCCGGGGGGGACGACGGCGACGGCGGAGCCTACGGGATCGTCTTGAGAGCCTCTTGGGATTTCTCGGGCTTCTCCGGAGGCCTTCCTGGACCTTCTTGAGGCGATCTCCGAACCCCTCAGGCCCAATGGGGACCCGATTGGTCGCGAGAAACACGGGAAATCAAATGCGCTTGGGGATGGCATTGAAGGATCTGAAAAGTCGGAGGCCCGGGTGTCGTGGGTCCTCTTGGAGGCCTATGGAACCACCTTCGAGGCCTCTTGCCTTGATTGTTCATGGCATCTTAGGAAAGTTTGGGTCATCCTGGGTCAATACTTTTGCCTATTTGGCTGATCCTACTTGGGTCAATACTTTTTTGTCTATGTGGGTCAATCCTTTGGCATCGTTGGGGAATGTGTGGGCCTCTGGAATTCTGGGTGCCACGGGACACCCTGGGCGCGACTGGGTCACACGCATGGATCGGCGGCGAGCGAGGGGGGAAGTGAGACGGAGAAGGCCTTCTCAGAAGGCGGCGGGACTTCTCGGAGGCCCTCGCGCTTTCTGAGAAGTCTTCGGTGTCTTCGGGGAGGGCTCGGCAAATTTCTCAGAAGGCTGGGGGACCTCTGAGCCTTCTGAGAAGGCCCGCCCCGTCTCACTTCCCCCCGGGCTCGCCACCAAATGGAGTGAGGTTGGGACCTCTCTGGAGCACATGGGGGAACACTGGAGCATAATTGGCCGTATCGGGCGATCTTGGGAGCATGTTGGCGCCTCAGAGGGACACTTTGCGGCCATCGTGGGCCGTCTTGGTGCCATTGTGGGGCGTTTTCGGCCTTGTTGAACCGATTCTGGCCCAACATTTTGGCCTCTTCGCCTCGCAGCAAAGCGTATCTACCAGACGTGAATACACTCAGCAGTTGGCGGAGCACAAATGGACTGATAGGCTAACAAGCATACTTGCACGCATAAAGAGATTAGGAGGCGACTACTGGGAAGTTTTCGTCGGAAGGATTACAAGGGATTGAGCCCCATTGGGGGGCTGTTACGCCGGAGTGAGCCTCGGATCAAGCGGGATCAAGCCGGATTCAGCGGGTTTAAGCCAGATAGATTAAGCCGGATTAAGCGGGATCAAGCCGGATTAAACAAGATTTCGGACCAAGGCAAATCAGAATTTGACCTCCCAGGAGTTGCATGCGAAGAGGGGCGTGCGCGCAAGCAATCACTTCTGGTCCCAGAAGGCAGGGCTCTGCAAGAAGCTTTTCCGTGCGCACATACAGAGAGAGGGAGAGAGAGAGAGAGAGAGAGAGAGCGAGAGAGCGAGAGCGAGAGAGGCGAGAAGAGAAGGCGAGAGCGGCGACCGCGGAGGAGGAGGAGGAGGAGGAACAAATCGGAAGCAACTACTGGAAGGTCTTCGTCGGAAGGGCCAAGGAGGATTAACCCCATTGGGGGGCCGTTACGCCGGAAGGGGCCTCGGACTAAACGGAATTAAGCCGCCGGATTAAGCGAGATTAATCGGGATTAAACTGGATTAAACGGGATTGAGCTGGATTAAGCTGCATTTCGGACCAGGGCAAATTCGGAATTTGATCTCCCAGGAGTTGCATCCCAGGAGAAGGAAAGCGGCCCGCCCAAGCCAAGCGCAAGCATTCACGCGGGCCAAAAGCATCAGGCCTGCCATCGCTCAGACGTCCATTTCCTGAGTTTGCTTCCGTCGTGCTTTGCTCTCATAATGGTCCGACCCTGGGACCCGACGTAGGGGAACACAAACGTCGTAGAACGTCACGCCCGGAGCTCTAGACCCTATCCTTGTGTGTCGTTCTTCGAGTCGGATCGAATTGTGAGGGCCCCCGGGGCCTGGTCAGAGGCGACAACGACCGATCCGAAACAATGGAAACGCTAGGATCTCAGAGAAGGTGGTCTAGAGACTCACTGGCGGTGGCCTCGCCGAGAAACACACACACAAACACACACACACACACACACAAACGTCCAGGCGATGCCAGGAAGGGGGCGTGCGCGGGCAGCAGGTGCGGGGCAGGACAGCGGCCGTGCTTTGCTCTATCAAGACGGTCCAAGATGGTCTGGATCCCCTGGCGATGGCCTCGCCGAGAAGAACGCACGCGTCCGAGCGATGCCAAGAGCAAAAAGCCTACAGTCAGCCCGTAGTTCTCAGAAGGGTGCGAGGTAAGGATGCAAGGGCCTCTCGAGGCCCACGTGAACGTTTCTCGAACGAGGCTGACCAGCGAAAGCCGCTGAGGATGGGCCGACGAGGCAAGGATGCAAGGGCACCCTTGGAAAGGCTGCCCATCCTTATTATGCGGGTTGACTGTATGCGGGCCAGCCGTGAAGGGGCCCTGGGACACGCAAACAAATAGACACACATCCCAGGACTCCTCATATCTCAAATTTTCTGGGTTCTCGGTTCCCCCCCCCACACTTCCACTCTTTTCCCAACCTCCTGGGGATCGACGCTGACCTGTGTCAGTGTTTTTTTTTTCCCCTGCCGCAGCAGCGCGAGGGGCGGGGGCGGCGGCGCGGGCGGCGCGGCGCCCACCGCGAGCCCGAGCCCCAGGGCGCCCTTGGCCCAGTGCTCCGCCAGGCACTGGGCCAGGAGCTCCTCCTGTCGGGCGGGCCGCGGGGGCGGGCGGCGGCGGCGGCGGCGCAGCACGGGCAAGGCCAAGGCGCGCCGGCAAGACGTCGGCTCTCGGCCCTCTTCCTCCTCCTCGATCCTCCTCCTCGTTTTCCTCCTTCTCGATCCTCCTCCTCGTCCTCCTCTTCGATCCGCCTCCTCGATCCTCCGCGTCCTCGTCCTCTTCCTCCTCATCCTCCTCCTCCTCGATCCACCTCCTCCTCCTCCTCCTCTTCCTTCTTCCTCTTCCTCCTCCTCCTCAAACCCACGGCCTACATCTACCAACTCGAGCCCGACGGACCCGGGGCCATCTGCCCCGTCGGCCATGCGAGCAAAGCCAGCGGCGCGCCCACGGGGGGGAAGGCGGACAAGGCGGGCCTCCTCCGAAGGTTCAGCAACCCGCCAGCCTGCGGAGATATTCCCCAGGCCTTCTCCGCAGCCGTGAAGGCTTCCCGGGAGGCCGCAGGGCTTCGAGACGCCCCGCCGCCCTTTGAGAAGGCCTGCCCCCCCTCCTCGTCTCCGCCGGCAAGCCGCCGCCAAGGGCGAACCGTAGCAAGGGTGGCCTTGGGTCCACGGCTCGCGGGCCGCTGGCGGGGTCGCCCCCCCCCGCCCCTGTCGCGCTGCACCCAGAAACCACGGTCCAAAGAGGTGACGCTGGCCAACGGGGTAGCTCGCGGCCGAAAAAAGGGGGGGGGGTCGACAAATGGGGAGGGGGCCGTAAAGGAGGGGCTGGCCTTGTGGAGGGAGTGGGAACGCGATGAGGAGAGGGGAAGGGGAGGGGAAAGGAGGGGGAGGGGGAGGAGGAGAAAGCGGAGGGGAGGGAATCGTAGGAGAGAGCGTGGCGAAAAGGGGAAGCGATGTGAGAGAATGGGGAAAGGGAACTCAATGGCGTGGAGCAGGGCGGAGGGAAATCGGAAGGAGCGGAAAGGGAGGAGAAGGAGGGACGGGGGAGGAAGCACAAGGGGAGGGACAGGATTGGATTGGCGCGTTTCAGTTGAGCTGGCGGAAGAAGCGTCGGACGCAGCTTCCTTCAAGCAAAGAGCCGCGACCCAGAGAGGGTTCGGATTCTTGAGGCGGCGCTGGGCCCCCCTCCCAAACTCGCGAGACGAGCATAAGCAAGCCGGAGGAGCAGCCAGCCGGCGCTGTCCCAAAACATCCGCACAGCCATCCAGGGGCACCACCTTGAACGATCATCTCCAACCCAAGCCGTGGTCAGGGAGAGGCAACCCAGAGAGAGAGAGAGAGAAAGAGAGAGAGAGCCCATAGAGGTGTCAGGAGCACCCTTGCACCTCCGGCCTTGCGTCGGGCTGTGGAAAAGATTCAATTGTCGTCAAGCGGCGTCAGTCTAGCGTTTGTGTTGTCCGTTTCGTTTTCTCGCGACCGGTGCCCTATGCCGCGGCGCCCAATTGAGCGTTCTCCCACTCCACCGGCTGTCAGCACAAACGGAGAGCTTGTCGGCCACCGCCTTTGTCGCTTTCCTGAACAGCGCGGTCCAATCCTCCACTCCGAACTTGGTGGCGAACTCCTCGCTAATGTGAGTGGCCCTGTTGATGTGAGAGACCCACGATTCATCTGCTTGATGCCCAACGCGTACCATTATGCGCAGCATGCTGCGCTGCGTCGCGCGAAGTTTCTTCTCTTGGTCCACGGTTCGGGCCCAAGTTCCTGCGGCATACAGCACGCTCGGGGTGACGCAATCGTGGACCAAACGCACGCGATGCCGAAGAGGTAGACCTCGCTGGCATAGGATGTCCTTCAGGCGGGAGAGTGCTGTCCATCCAGCAGGGCTTCGATACGTGAGCTTCGTCTCGTGCTACGCGCCCAAATTAAACTCCCTGCCCAGGTACTTATCGGACCCCCCGTTCTGTATGGCCCGAGCGTCGTGCCCCATGCATCTCACGGGGGACGGTCGCGGACCTGAGAATCACATTATTTCCCTTTTGTTTACCTTCAAAACGTATGTTCCGTTTCTGTCTCCAGGTCCGCGGTCATTACGTATCCATGAAAGGCAACCCTGAAGCTCCCCGCGAAGTGGGGCAGCCAGGCAGTGGGCGCCTGCCTCGGGCTCGTCCGATCCCCACTTCCATGCCTGATCGACGCACGCCGCGGGTGCGGGAAGGTGACAAAAAAGGGGGAGAGGGAACGACCCCATGAGGAAGGGGTGGAATGGGGGAGGAGGAGGAGGAGGAGGAGGAGGAGGAGGAGGAGGAGGAGGAGGAGGAGGAGGAGGAAGAGGAGGAGGAGGAGGAGGAGGAGGAGGAGGAGGA